CGCGCGGCGCCCCCACCGTGTGCCCCTGCCCTCTGGCACTGCCTGGCTGGGGCTGCCCCCGGCCCCCACCCCGGCTCCTCCTCTCCCCTCCAGTCCTGCTCGGAGCCTGCCAGCCACAGACTCCAGCATGGCTGGTGAGCGGCGGGCAGCAGGTGGTACGAGGGGCAGCGTGGGTGTGAGGGGCAAGTTTGAGCGGGCAGAGGAGGAGACCGAGAAGGAGGAGGCTGAAGCCAGGGAGGAGGAGGAGGAAGAGGAGGAGATGGTCCCGGCCCCTCAGCGAGTCACGGATCTGGAGCTGGGCATGTACGCCCTGCTGGGAATCTTCTGTCTGGCCATCTTCATCTTCCTGGTCAATGGCGTGGTCTTCGTGCTGCGCTACCAGCGCAAAGAGCCTCCTGACAGCGCCACCGACCCAGCCTCCCCCCAGCCCCACAACTGGGTCTGGCTGGGCACTGACCAGGAGGAACTGAGCCGCCAGCTGGACCGGCGGTCTCCTAGTCCGCCCAAAGGGGAGGGGGCGTGCCCCTGTGAGAGTGGTGGGGGAGGGGAGGCCCCCACTCTGGCCCCTGGCCCTCCTGGGGGCACCACCAGCTCCTCCAGCACCCTGGCCCGAAAGGAAGCCGGAGGGCGGCGGAAGCGTGTCGAGTTTGTGACATTTGCACCAGTCCCTCCAGCCCAGCCGCCTGAGGAGCCTGTAGGGGCCCCCGCGGTGCAGTCCATCCTGGTGGCAGGCGAGGAGGACATCCGCTGGGTGTGTGAGGACATGGGGCTGAAGGACCCCGAGGAGCTTCGTAACTACATGGAGAGGATTCGGGGCAGCTCCTGACCTGGCCGGCCCAGCCTGCCTGGCCCAGCATGGCAGCCACCAGCCTGGACAGCGGGAGGGGGGTGCCCACAGGGCCTCTAGCCTGCCCTTCCCGCACATCCTTTGGTGGCTGTTGATCCAAGTCCCCTGCCTGGACCCCTGCAAGGCCCCATCCAGGTGCCCTCTGCCCTGCCCTTGTCATGGACCATGGTTGTGAGGAAGGGCTTCTGCCCCTTATTTATGGGAACCATTTCATTCTAACGTCGGGTACAGAATAAACAGAAGGAAACCAGAGCTGAGACTGCGGGGTCTGTGTCCTGGCAACGAGAAGCCAGCGGTGGGCTGGGGGCATGTTCAGCCCCTATCCCTGCTGGGACTGCTCTGGGAGGCTGGGCCCTGACCGGCCCTCTCATAGCGACCAGCGATCCAGATAAATAAGAGGGCTGTGACGGCCTGAATGCCAGCCAGCAGGAAGAAGTAGAGGTCCATCCGGCAATTGTTGATGTTCCCTGGGAAAAGGGGAGTGGGTGTTGGCTCAGGGCAAGGCCCACCTGTGCTACACGCTCTCTTTACCGGGCCTGGGCCATCCAGGCAGTGGATGGGATCTGATGACACCGGGTAGACATCCCTCTAGCGTCCTGGGGTGTCTACGATTCTTCCTTGGTCAGTTATTTATTAGGAAACTTGCAGCACAAATTCCACAAGAAACATGACCTTCCAGCCAGAATGGCAGCGTTCTAGGGCAGGAGCCTTTGCGGTCCACTGAGGTCAGTGCTTCCTTTTGACTGCTGGGGAACTGAGGCCCGTGGAGCTGAGGCCACACGGTGAGTGATGGGCAAAGTGGGGCACAGCCCCCTCTCCTGAGCCCACCCCTCACGTCATTCTGCCTAGGGTCAATGTGCTTAGCAGCTGCCTCTTCCAAGCCCCCCTCCACCCATGTCCCACACTCACCGAAGTCCTCGGGGCAGTGCAACCAGCCCCCTGGCAAGGACAGTAGTGCCACCAGGCTTGAGCCCAACAGCGAGCCCACCCCTGACAGGCAGAAGAAGATGCCCATCATTGCTCCCTGCATGGACCGCGGGGCCTCCGAATAGGCGAACTCCAGGCCTGAGGAGAGAGAGAGAGGCCTCAGGGCTGGGAGGCAGCAGAGGACCGGCCCTAGCCCACCAAGCCTTCATCATGGAGGCCGTGACAGCACTGAGTAGCAATGTCACTTCCTCTCTGCCCTGCTCATCCACCTCTGGTTTGAACACCCCCAACTGGACAGGCCATGTGGCCCCAAGAGCTCCGCCTCCCCACCTCCTTCTGGGCTTTCCATTCAGTGACAGCCTCCAAGCCAGCACCATCTTTATCCTCCCTTCAGCCGTCATTGCCAAACCATTCCAACTCAACCTCTAAGATCTCTTCTAAATGTGTGCCCTGGTCTCTGTCCCCTCCACCCTGGGCCAAACCCCAGCCCTTGTCATTTTGTCTGGCCCCCTGTAAAGGCCTCTTAAACTCCCAAGTCCTGCTCTCTCTGCACCAGCAGTGGGCCTGTCTAAAACATCTCTGGTGGGGTCCTTTCCTGCCAAAACCCCTCACAGAGTTGTAGAGGGGGTGCTGTCACCTTCGGGAGAAATCCTAAGATCCAGGCTCAGCCTGTAAGACCCTATGAGACTTGGAATTGAAGGGGAATAGGAGTTCACCTTCCATCTAAGTGGAGGGAACAGCAACTGCAAAGACCCAGAGGCTGGGGAACATGGCAGCAAGTGACTATGTGGACTTCAAAAGATTCATGAAAAAAAAAAGAAATTAAAGTGTGAGTTTATTTTGATGCAAAACCTTTTTTTTTTCTTCTTATTTTAGAGGGTGTGTGTACTCACCAGAGAGAGTCAGAGTGAGGGAGAGAGGAAAAAGCACCCCTATGGGGAATGAGCACACTGCAATCCCTTCTCCATTTCTCCCTTCTTTTGGAATTTTGGGCGTGCGCATACCTACGCATGGTGTGTTTCTCAAGCCACCGGGTCTGGGACTCAAACCATGCACTTGGTCACGTAGGATACAGCTGCCTTATCCTCTAGGTCAAGGAACCAGTCCAGTTTTTTCATAATATGCATTTCCCATGAATTCTGAAGTCCCCTCATATGTAGAGGGTGGTGGGAAAAGCCTTAGTCTCCTCCAGCCTTCCAGGGCCTTTTGCAGTGGCTGGTGAGAGGCAGGGCTAACACATCTCCATTGAGCCAATGCAGCCTCTCAGAAAACACTGCCTGCTTCCACGCCAGCAAGCCCCAGAGGCTGCACTTGGAGGCACCCTCAGGCAGAGCCCACCACTGGTTGCAAAAGCAGAAGAGGGGATCCAGGGTACCTGGGATGCTGGCGAAAATCTCGCTGATCCCAATAAGCAGGTACTGTGGGATCTGCCACCAGATGGGCAGTGGTGCTGCGTAGTACAGGTCCTCCCCGATCTTCTGGGACACGGTCTCGTTGCGGTGGATGTAGTGTAAACGCTCCATCTCCAGGACACCTGGTGGAGGAGTAGGAGATTCCAGCCAGGCCTGGCCTGGGCAGCTCCGCCCACAGGGTGTTCTTACCCAGCAGCCAGGGCTTGACTGGGCAGCAGGTAAGGAAGAGAATACCGACCAGGGGGCAAGGGGAGTGTCAAGATTTGAGTGCCAGCTCCTCCCTTTTTGTCTCGGCTGCTAGGAAACTCAGGGCTAGGTTTTATACTCAATAACAATATCAGCTCCCATTAATTGAAAACCCATTGTTGTTAAGCACTTAGCATGCATTCTTTTTTTTCTTTTCTTTCTTTTTTTTTTTTTTTTTTTTTGAGAAGTTTTTGCTATAGGGCGCATTCGCTGACTGGAAAGACAGAGAGAGACAGAAAGCGAAAAATCGCCCCCCAGGAGGGATGGCCACGCTGCAATCCCTTCTCCTCCATTCTCCTCTTGGGATCTTGGGCATGCGCGCACGCATGCTCAACATGAGTTTAAGCCACCGGGTCCAGGACTTGAACCGCGGTTGACTACATGGGAGTTCAGCGACATAGCCATTACAGTAACTGCTGGTCCTTAGCATGCATTCTCCAAATAAAAAAAGTGAAATGTAGGTTAAACAACAGCCCTGAGTTACACTGATAGGTAGACAGGGCTGGATGTGAGCCCCAGTAGGTCTGACTTCAAAGGTGGCCTTCGCTCCATGATGTCACATGACCCCTCGACTGTGGCATCAAGTATCGCAGTAGTGTTTCTAAGCTGGCTTTCATGTTGGACCACTTTATCGCCTTTTTCTGTATTGCTGGGACCATAGCTGTGGAATGAACACCGGATGGGGAGTTAGGGAACTTGGGTTCCAATCCTGGCCCTAACACTGGCTTGCGGTATGACTTGGGCAAAGCACCTAGCCTTAGACCCAGTTCCCTTACACAAGAAGCAGGATGCAGACCCGGCTATGGTGGTGCAGACAGTAGGGTGCTACCGTGCCAGCAGGGGCCACCTGGAAGGTCCTGGCTTAGTTCCGGAACCAACCTAAACAGGCTAGGTGTGCTGGCATGTGCCTGCAGTCCTCGCTAACTGGGAGGCTGGGCAGGAGGATTGCAGCACAGCAAGCCTCCGTCAAAAATACCCCCCGCCCAAGTGGCTATGAATCTCGAGAAAATACATTTAAGGGGCTAGCAGGTGGTGTGGTGGTTAAGGCGCTGGATTCCCACGTGACCGAGTGGTTTAAGTCCCAGGCCTGGCGGCTTGAAAATGACAACAAATAAGTAGATAGATAGATAAATAAATAAATAAATAAAAAAAAAAAAAAATGCTTTTTTTTTTTTTTTTTTTTTAAAGTCTTATATGTAGGGACAAGCAGATGGTGTGGTGGTTAAGGACACTGGACTCACACTGGCTGACCACAGTTTGAATCCCAGACCTGGTGGCTTGCTTTCTCACTTTCTCTCTTTCTTTCTCTGGTCAAGTTATAAATAAATAAAGTTAAATAAAAAATAATTCTTGAAAAAATTATATTTTAAAAAGAAAATTCATTCGATACAGCTATTAAAGGCCCTTGTGCATTATTTACAGCAGTAAATAAAGAAGAAAAAAATCCCTACCTTCAAGAAACTTATATGCCGGGGACCAGCAGTTCATGTAATGGCTATGTCGCTGGACTCCCATGTAGTCAACCGTGGTTCGCGTCCCAGACCCAGTTGCTTAAACTCAGGCCGGGCGTGTGTGCGTGTGTGCCCAAGATCCCGAGAGGAGAATGGAGGAGAAGGGATTGCGGCATGGCCATATCCCTGGGGGGTGGGGAGGGTGAGTTCTCACTTTCTGTCTCTCTGTCTCTCTGTCTTTCCGGTGAGCGCGCGTGTCCTATAGCAAAAACCTCTCAAAAAACAAAAAAAAGAAAAGAAAAAAAGAAAAGAAACTTATATGCCATTGAGGAAACATTTGCTCCTCTGTTGGACTAAGTTTCTTTCTGTCAAAATGAGAGGGGCTGGATTAGATTAGGCAGGTCGTTTTCTGCTCATACCGTCCAGGAAGCCAATACTGACACACATTGGTGGGGGCTGTACTCGGCCTTAGTGGAACCAGCCTCCCCTATCCAAGACAGACGAAGGTCAGCCCGCAGTCCCCAGCCCCACACCATCCACATACCTGCCACAATGACAGAGGTAAAACCAAAGAACATCCCCAGTGCCATCTTCTGCAGGGCCGAAGGAAGCAGCTTACACCGCAGCAGTAAAGGATCGATCAGGTGGTCCTTCAGAGGGACCAGAATCAGCACCACCACTACGTTGGCAAGAAGGAGCCAGGCTTCTGGGATCTGGACAGGAGGAGGTCCATAGAGGCAGGCTAGCGGAGCGGAAGGAGCTCTGGGCAAGCGTCAAGTGACCTGGACTCTGAACTGTCCCTGTGTGACTACTCCCTCAGGAAGTTGGATTAGATTTTAAAAAATGGCAGATAGGTTTCCTCTTCTATTCTAGCTTCGTTTTTTCTTTTTTTTTTTTCAAAGAATTATTTAACTTTTCAGATAGGTTTCCTCTTCTATTCTAGCTTCGTTTTTTCTTTTTTTTTTTCAAAGAATTATTTATTTAATTTTTTTATTCATTCATTTATTTTAGTTTGATCAGAAAGAGAGAGAGAGAGAAAATGGGAAAGCAAGCCCCAGGTCTGGGACTCAAACCATGGTTGGCCATGTGGGAGTGTCCAGCACCTTAATCACTACGCCACCTGCTGGTCCCCCTATTCTAACTTATATCAGTCGGTGCGGAAAAAGTGTCAATGGGGCCAGCCTGTGGTGTGGTGGTTAGGGCAGCTGGGTTCCACATGACTGCCTGCACAGTTTGAGTTCCAGTGGTTCTGAGAAACATGCGGGGGGTGTGCGCATGTATGTCTAAAATCCTCAAAGGAGGCAGAAGTGGAGAAGGGGCTCTGGTGTGACCGTTCCTCATGGAGAGAGCTTGCTCACTTTCCCTCTCTCTCCTTCTCTCTCTGTCTCTCTCTGGTGAATACATATGCCCACTGGCAAATGGAAAAAATAAAAGTAAAAAGATTGAAACAGTGTTTTGATTGATTAGTAATGTCTGCCATGAGCAAGGAAATGAAGTATAATGGCAAGTATGTCATTTATCTGCCAGCTCTGAAGATCTTTGATTTTTTGAGTCTCTGAAATGCCAAGGTTTGGAAAGGTCTACCAAAAGGCAGGTATCCCAGGGTTCCAGAGAAAGAGGGAGTAGGGCAGAGCCCAAGAGGGACCTGAGTGTGCTCAGTCTGAGGGTACAAAGTGGTACAAACAGGGTGTGAAGCCTGCTTCAGAGCAGCAGTGGGGAGGGGGTGTGGAGCTGATCTCAAGTCTTTTGAGCAGTTGAGCCACTTGGCAGGATGCCTGGGCTCCGACACAAATTTACGCACCCTGAAGGTGCTTTTTCTGAATCATGAGGTTGCCCTGCAGCTAAGGGAGGGGACGTGAAGGCAGCCCGTTTCCTCTCTTCTCAGAGGAAGCCCAGCCTGGCCTTGAATAGGTGCAGAACTCAGGCTTTGTCTCTTACCGTATAGCTGCCCTGGGCTTTCAGAGCCATGGAGCTGTTGGCAGGGTTGGCTGGGAAAATGTTCGGGATGTGGAGGTGAAGACCTTGGAGCACATACGTGGACTGCATCTGCCGAGAGAGATGGGACGAGACGGGAACAAAGCCAGTCATCTCACCTCTAGCCTCAGAAGGCTCCCAGCTTCTGGGGGGGTGGGGGGCATTTCTCAGCAGCAGCGCCAGGCAGCTGGGGGCTGTCCTCCCATCCAGTCTTGGGGATGGTAACCTTCCCACCTTTCTTCCTCTCTGGAAAACAGGCCTGGAAGGAAGCCTCCTTTGCCTGCTCTTGGGCTATGAGCAGTACATGCAGCCTTACCCCAGCACCAGGGCACAGCTGGTCTGACTCACATTTGGGTCTCCAGGGCCCAGCACAGGATAGATACGGATAAATGTTTGTGGAAATGGGGAAGATAATGGCATGGCAGTCCCCTTGGGGAGTTCTTACATGACACTGAGCTACCCGGAGTCCCACAGGTTACATGTGCTGGCCTAGCACAGTGGGTCACAGCTGCAGAGCAGGGCTCTAGGGGACCCCATCAGACCAGGCATTGCCCCTTCATTTCTCTATAGTGGAGGGAGGTCCAGGAGACTCTCTTAGGAGGGTTGTGGCAGGGGAGGGCACTTGGGTGGCTCAGGGCAACTGCCATTGACAACTGGTATGGAAGAACATCAATATCTTTTATTTTATTTTAAAATTTTAGAGATTTTTGCTATAAGGTGCATGCACTAGCTGAAGAGACAGAGAGAGACAGAAAGTGAGAAATCAACCTCCAGGGAGGATGGCCACATGGCAATCCCTTTTCCTCTTGGGATCTTGGGCATGCACGCACACATGCCCGGCATGAGTTTTAAGCCACTAGGTCCAGAACTTGAACCATGTCAACTACATGGGAGTCCAGCGACGTAACTATTATGCCATCTGCTGATCTCCTTTTATTTCTGTTAATTTGCTAGAGGGTGAATAAGCTCACTGGAAAGAGACAGAGAGAGAGAGAGAGAGAAAGAGAGAGAAAGTGAGAAAGCACCCACCATGGGGGAATGGTCACACCGCAATCTCTTCTTGCTTTCTCTCTCCTTTTGGGATCTGGGCATGCACACACACGTGCTTGCCAGGTCTGAGACTCAAACCACAGTAAGCCATGCCTTAAATATCAACTGCCTTAACCACCATGCCACCGGCTAGCCCAAGGGCAGCAATATTCTGACAACTGGTGTGACTCAATCTGCCATGGACACACACACTCATGTCCCTGTCACATCATGGACACCCACTGTGGCCCCTAAGTAGAGGTGAAGAAGGGGTATGTTCTGGGGATTAGGGGCTAGGGTCAGCCTGTGGTCTCAGCCACCCACAAACACAGACACACACATTGCTTACCTTCTCCTCGGGGAGTGGTGGGCCGGGTGGGAGGCAATAGTTCTCAGACCTGAGCATCTGTATCATCTGAGTTTATTAAACTAGAGACCTCCCTCAGCAGTCCTGATTCAGGAGTCTGGAGTGGGATGTGACAATCTGTATCTTTTTTTAAAGCTCTGCAGGTAATTCTGAGGCACAGCCGGGTTGGAGAACCCCCATTGCAAAGTCTTCAGTGCACTGAGCTTGCCCCAAATCTGCTGTGACCGGCCCGTCTCCCAGCTACCAGCCTAGAGCATCCGACTGTCTAAGCCACCCATTGTACACGTGAGAGAACTGAGGCCCAGAGAGAAGAGGTGACTGATTCCAGGGGCTGAGCCTCAGGCCTGTCTCCAGTTCGTCCTGCCATACCACCTGAGGACGTTTAATGGGTCAGGCCTCACACCAGCTGGTGCACAGAGCAACTCACTCTGTCCCTCTCCTCTCCCCTTCCTCACATGCCCTGGGATTCTGCAAAGAAAATTGAGACCAGCAAGATCTGGGATCTAGGCCCCCCAGAGCAAGAGGCTCACCTGGAAGTACACCATCCAGTAGGGTACTAGCGTCACCATGACAGGTAAGATCTTCACCAACACCTGGAAGTTGGCAATGTCCTCTTGGGAGGAGGCGCCAGGCTGGGGAAATCTCTGGTCAGGAAGCAGGTGGGCACCCTGGGGGTCTCTGTGGGGTCATAGGCAGCCATCACCATCCCCCCTCCGCCATTGTTTTCACCGCCACCATTATCTCCTAATTTAATCCTACCCCCAATATCACCTTTTTGCATGGACATCAGCTCTGAAATCACCACCCTCATCTCCTCCACTCCACTGTCAGCATCACCTTCGCCATCATCTCCAGCATCCCCAAGGCCAGCATCCTTATTATTGTCACCGTCAGGATGACGATCGCTGTTACCAACGCCATTCTTTAATTACTATGGCCATCGCTCTCTTTTCTTTTTTTCTTTTTTTTAGACAGGCTTTTGAGACAGGGTGTGTGGGCTCACCGGAGAGACAAATAGAGGCAGAGAGACAGAAAGTGAGAAATAACCCCCTGGGAGGATGACCATACCACAATCTCTTCTCCTTCATTCTCCTCTTGGGGTTTTGGGCACACACACACACACACACACACACACACGTGCGGCCAGTGTGAGTTTTAAGCCACTGGGTTCAGGGCTTGAACTGTGGTTGACTGTGGGAGTTCAGCAAGGTAACCATTATGCCATCTGCACAATGGTCCCTGGCCATCACTTATTATTGGCACCACCAATGCTGATATTATCACTATTTGCTCTTTTGCGGCAAAAGTAGTCAATCAAGACCTACTCTACTCTACAGCCGTGACCCCCTTGGGTCCTAAAGGAAGTCAGACCAAAGACTATGGCGAGCAGAGTTTTTTTTTTTTTTTTTTTTTTTTTTTTTGCATGGGGCGTGTGCACTTGCCAGAAAGAGAGAGAGAGACAGAGAGACAGAAAGTGAGAAATCACTCCCGGGGGGCGGGGAGGGATGGCCACGCCGCAATCCCTTCTCCTCCATTCTCCTCTCAGGATCTTGAGCACACACGCACACGTGCCCTGCTTGAGTTTAAGCCACCAGGTCCGGGACTCAAACCGCAGTTGACTATATGGGAGTCCAGCGACATAGTCAGTACGCCAACTGCTGGTTCCATAGGGCGAGCAGTCTTAAGGGATTTTTTGGTTCATAGCATCAGTTTGCCACAGGAACCAGGGTGGTCCTAGTCCAAGTCTGACTCAGAGAGAGAGAGAGGCTGTCACAGATTCGATATACCACAACCCTCCCACTTGCTGTCCCCAAGTCCATCCTCCTCGATGGTCACCACCGTAGCTCTCTCCCTCCGTGGTATGTGGAGGGAACATCATTAGGTGACAGGCTAGATCAGCCACTGCCGCATCCTTTCCCCGTTGCCTTTGTCCTGAGAGGTTTCTGGTCCCTTCTTGTGCAGGCATCTCCTAGCCTCCTCTGAGATTCCAAAAGAGGCCATTGCTGTGTGGCGTCTCCAAAGATGGCCGCCACAGTATGTGCTGCCGGTTCACTGCCAACCATTTGAACTTAACTTTCCCCAGTCACTGATTCTGGGCCAGCTCGTGACTGCGTTCACCGATAAAATGAGGAAGAAGTGATGCTATGGGGCTTTCAAGCCTCGTAAGGGCCTGAAGAAGAACCAAAGTTTCCATTTTCTTCTCTCGGGAGCTTTCATTCTTGGAATGTTCCCTTCTACAGAACCCAGAAACCATACCACGAGACTCTTAAGCCACACGATAAGGCCACATGAGAGGGATCCAAGGTGCTCTAGGTGACTGTCCCCGCTGAGCTCTCAGATGACAGCCGACATTGATTGCCTGCCATGTTAAGTGAGCCAGCTTGGATGTTCTAGTCCTTTAAAGCCCCCACGTGATGGCAGCCCCAGTGACATCAGGAGGCATAAAACAACGGCTAGCTGAGCCCAGTCACCCACAGACGTGTGAAAAGGGAGAAAAAGGTGGTTGTTTAAGCCCATGAGTTCTGGTGTGGTTTGTTAGGTAGTAACAGATAATTAAACGACCAGACTCAGAACCCGACGACTGCACTAACAAACTGTAGCAGTAGACCAGGTTGAGGGAAGTACGTTCTTCACTTTTTCCACCCTCGATCCTACTGACAAGAGCTGTGATTGGCTCCAAGGTCCAGAGACAGATTTGCTTAACGCAAATACAGTCAGCCACCTTTGGAAGGAGAGGAGCGAAGAAAGCCATTGCGCCTATGCAACACCGTTCAGTCCTTTCCCCCTGGATGCCAGCTGATAGGAAGCGAGTGAGTCTGGCCGATTTCTCAAAACTTGTTATGCTTAGCAACAGGGAAGGGTGGGGTTATCCATGTGAGATCCCAGCGACCTTCTCGGATATCAGCACCTCCATCACACCACCGCTACTCCCATCACTGGTGGTCATCGTCCTTGTAGGGACCGGCGCCATCATCCCTGTTTGTATCACCACCGTCATTGTCAACACCACGATCATCCCCGCACTTTCAGAGTTAGAGGGTCACTCATGATATCACCACCTCTGCCCCCTGGACCTCCACCACCATCCTCAGTCACAGCGGGCAGTTCCGGCCAGCTGGAGAGCAGATCAGCGTCAAGGGCTCAGATCACAGGATCTGAACCAGAACATCTACACTCCGGCCCATGCCTTCCCCAAGATAAGTAAGGCACGTCTCCGGGGTGGAAGGCCCCTTTCACCCAGAGCCACTTCCTTACCTGTCAGAGTGTCGTTGGCCCAGTCGGGGGCAGCAGTTTCGGAAAGCGAGCTTAAGCATGGAGGATATCTGGCTGCCGGTGGGGGGCTTGGTGATGAAGATGGGGGTGGTGAAGAGAAAGGTGAAGAAGGCCAGGCCCACACAACCCACGGGGATGCTGTAGCCCAGCAGGAAGCTGATGTTCTGCTGGATGAAGGCCACCACCAGCAGCGACAGCACAGCACCCAGGTTGATGCTCCAATAAAACCAGTTGAAGAAGCGGCGGGTGGCGTCTCGGCCAAGATCCATTACCTGCCAGTCAGGGAGGGGTGAGGGTGAGGGCCAAGGAGGTGCAGGAGGGCAGCCTGCCCATGACACATTCTCCGTACCTGCCCCCACCGCAGAGGGAGACACTTCAGGGGCGTGGGTGGGCGTTAGGCACTTCCCTAGTCTCTGGCCACGAAATAGGTGCTTGATAAGTATTTCCTGAATGAGCGAATAAACTCTTCTCCCGGGAGTCACTTGTTCATCCAGTGACATGTTGGCACGGCTGTTTTTTGCATGCCCATGGCGCACATTGCTTTTTTATTGTCACCACGTAGTACACACAACAGACCTTTCCGATGCCACTTAGCTCATTTCTGGCTGATTTATCCCTTTGTCTTGGACAGAGCAACCTACATTCTGTATTACTTCTGTCATCAGAAACAAGTCAATGAAGATTTCAGCTCTGTTCCACATTCTTACATAGGATGGATGCATGTACTCAAAGAGCAGTCGGAAGTCTGGTTGAGAATTTCCTCTAGTTTGCAGATGCAGATTATTCTGCTGCAGGCTCCCCCGCCCCACCCCCACTTGCCTCCTTCTGATACATGCTCAAATGAGGCTGGTATAATCAGGGACAGGAAGGGTGGTCCTGGCCAGAGCCCCAAGAGCTGGCTCTGGTTTGGAGAAAAAAACATTCCAGGGCTTCCAGGAAGGACAGACAGGCTGAAAAGCTTTACCCTGGATTGGGATCTATCTACAACAGGCAGGCCCCAGGCCCCTTCTAGTCTGTTCACTCGGGGCAGCTGTATGGCTATCCCCTTCTCTTCCTGGTTGCAGGTTCTGACCCAGGAGGTCTGGGCAGGGCCTAGACGTCTGCATTTCTTTTTTCTTTTATAAAAAAATGTATTCATTTCCTCCATGACAGAAAGAGAAAGACAGAAAGACAGGCAGGTATTCCCAAGAGGATCTCCTCCCTACAATCCACCCCTAGTGTCAGCAAACCCAGGTCACGGGTATGCGCATGTGACCCAGGACTTCTCCTACATAGGTGCAATTGCCATCACCTAGCCCCTCCCCTGGGCATCTGTATTTCTAAAAGGTGGTGAGGGTGACCAATAGGTGGCATAGTGGTTAAAGAGCTGGTCTCCCACATGGCTGACCACAGTTCAAGTCCTCAACCCAGTATGAAGACACAGACATTATCTGTTGATGATAACATCTATGGTATCCTCAACTGGACTTGTGGGAAGCATATTCATGTTGGGTAAATTCACTCGGCAAGCTGAGAGATGTATAGTGATTGAATGTACAAAATCAATTAAAATAGATAGATAAATAAGTAAATAAAACACAAAAATCACTCTGGGTGTGTGTGTGTGTGTGCGCTGAATCCCAGGAAGAACAGGAAAGAGAAGGGATTATGGTGTGGCTAACCCTCCTGGGGGGGGTGCTTTCTCACTTTCCTTTTCTCTGTCTGTTTTTGTCTCTCTCCAGCAAGCACACAGGCCCTATGGCAAAAACTTAAAAAAAAAAATGGGACCAGCAGTTAGCGTAATGGCTATGTCACTGGACTCCCATGTAGTTGACCACAGTTCGAGTCCCGGACCCGGTGGCTTAAAACTCACGCCGGGCGCGTGTGCGTGTGTGCCCAAGATCCCAAGAGGAGAATGGAGGAGAAGGGATTGTGGTGTGGCCATCCCCCATTGGGGGTGATTTTTTGCTTTCTATCTCTCTGTCTGGTGAGTGCACACACCCTATAGCAAAAAAAGAAAAACAAGAAGAAAAAACTTAAAAAAAAAGAAAAAGAAAAAAGGATTGGGGAAAGAAAAAAGATGAAAAAAGAAAAAAGGGCTGGGGTCACTTCTATAGGTAAAGGATTCTCTGCTTTATTAAACCAGTCACCTTTTTAATGAGCTCCCAAGTCTCAGAATCCCTTACTGTCCTTCTACCCACAGATTCTTTCTTTCTCTTTTCCCTTTTCTTTCTTTCTCTTCCTCTTTCTTTTTCTTTCTTTCTTTCTTTCTTTCTTTCTTTCTTTCT